AGTTTCGTCGGAACGAAGTTACGGAAAGTTAATTAACGAACGGAGACGTAACAGTATACTCCAATGGTAGCTTTGGCAGTTTCTTGTTAAAACTTTCCTTACATTTAAATGAGAAGGACCATAGTCGCCCCTTACCTTCTAAGGAAGAAACGTCAGATTTAAACAGTTTATACAGCTTGGAGAGAGAACAGTTTTGATCTAGTAAAAGCTAAAGTCCATCATCTATGCAAGCACACCTACACTGAGTCTGTGTTTTCTGTTATAATAAAAATTATGGTTTTTATTTTATATTGTGTCAAGCCTTTAGTTAGTATTCATGAACTCAGGTATTCAGAAAAATTAAATGTTCCTTTGTAATAGAAATCTTGACAGATTTCTCATTATTCACTAGACTAATCCCATTGATTTAGGAATAATTAGTTTTACCTGAATATATTACAATGCTATAAATATAAATCCTGGACAACTGTTCAACATTAAGGGAATTATGACAAATAAACTGGCCATGGAGTTACCAAAACTTGTCCTTGAGTGAATAGCTAAGGTACATTAAATGTGTTTTTTTCTTTCTTTTTTTCATTCTCAGAAACACCTCTGTACATTTTGATTCACTTTCTCTTCAGGATTGTTAAAGAGCAAAGAAAAAATTATAATGTTGTTTTGTGTATGAGATAGAAAATATTTTACAATAATCCGCTACAAGTGACTCGTGTTTTTTGAGCCTCCTTAACTTCATCTTTATAGAATTTCTTCTGTCTAGAAACGACTAATATGACCAATGTAAACTTGCACAAATGAGGCCCTAGTAAAGGGGTAAAAGATTTTAATTAGCAAATACCAACAGGAAAACTTGGGTTATAGTTCAAATAATTATCTTATGAAAAAGTAAGCATATTTTATGAAAAGAAACAGCCAGTACCCAGTGAAAATTCTTTAATTCTTTTACGTTTCACCTTACGGCTTTATCAAGAGGTAGACATCTTACAGAACACAAGCACAGCTTCAACAGGACAAAAACGCCCCTCCCTCCAGTAACAGCGGTATGTCTGCGGACTTAAAACTAAACCGGGCTTCAATACTCATGGTGGGCAGAGCACAGATAGCCCATTGAGTAGTTTTGTGCTTAATTACAAACAAACAAACAGAACAGAACAGCTGATGTGATTTAAAATAACAGCAATGTGTTATTGTGTATCGTATGACATGAAATCACATTATCAACATTTGCTGTTCACGTGTACATATTTATTCGGCTTGAGTGTTCAAATGAGTTATTATTTTGTTTCGATTTTAAATCTACATTTTATTCACCATGATTATATTCTTGTAGTACATTATTTTACTCTTACCTTTTCATTGTTTACAACGTGATTGCATGAAAGAGGATACATAAAAACGCGTTGCTGTTATTTTGTCTCCACAGAAAGATATACTGTTTTTCTATTGTTTCTTCTTTTTCTTTCATACACTTTTCAGTTGACCGCCATTCCTTCTTTCCTTGGTGGATTGACTTGAAACTTTGTAGGGTTATGCCTTGGTACAATATACGCCCAGATACGTTTTTCTTTTTATCTATTTAGGCACTTAAAAGGATTTTATACGATGAAAAGCCAAACAATACAAAAAATGTATATTTTGGCCTCCTGTGCGGTAATATTTACAGTAATCAAGATGAAAATTGGCCCAAATATAAATTCGAATGCGCCCGACACATTAATTGACATAGCAAATGTTGGTTTGCCCAAAAGCATAATTTCGTGTTTTTTTTTTGACAATTATTCCGCTATATTTGATCCAATTTACGTGGAATTTGGTGCAAAGATAATTCTAACATGTCCCAAACATATTGTTACGTCTCCGTTTGTTAATTAACTTTCCGTAAATTCGTTCCGATGAAACTTTAGCGACACAAGTCCTTACTTAATAAAACTGGTTTATTCTTTCCGAATATAACTTTACGATACACTTAATTTCAATATTCGCGCTAAAACAAACACTATAACGAACGAACGTTAACTTCAACAATACGTCTCTCTGACTGCAGTTCAATTACTCACTACCTACACACACATTACCTTTCTCCGTCTCCTTTGTCACCCTCTTTTATATACCAGACTACCCTATATCTAGTAAATACTAGAGCATTCGACAAGGTACAGGATAGTTCTAGAAACGTGGCGTCACAGTAGTCGTGTGACTCGCTGACGCAACAATACTGTGTATTATATGTATAAAAATATGTGCTACTTTAAGAAGGTTTTGCTGTTAAGATTATAAGATAATAGAGCTTGTCACTGACTAATAAACTAATTATTCAAGTAGGAGGCTGATTTTCATGTGGTTGTATAAATATAAGGTAAATCGTCCTCTTTGTATTTTAAATATTGAAAATGTAAGCTGTTGGAAGTCATGTTATCAATGAAGTGAATTGAGTTAAGAATTGTTTTTTCAAAGTTTTTTGAGCTCACTGAAGAATTTTATCATATATTGATTTCAGTTCCTCCATTGATTGGAGAGTTCCACTTTGATAAGAATCTTCATGAAGGAATGAGGACTCGAGTGTATTGTAGCATAGCACAGGGAGATCAGCCAATTACCATTTCCTGGCTTAAGGATGGACATCCTATACCTAATGATTTAGGAATATCTGTACGAACTATTGACAGTTTTTCAGTGGCTCTTGCAATTGATAGGCTTGAACCAGTTCACAATGGTAATTACACTTGTGTGGCGACCAATGAAGCAGCAACTGTTCAACATACAGCCCAATTAGTTGTTGATGGTAAAGTATTGAGAGACTTAAATCGTACTATTATTTGCATTGTATAAACTCTGAACTTTATAGATCTTGCAACAACAAGTTATAAAATTTAATATATTTTTTTAAACCTTCTAGTTGTATTACATGAAGACTTATAGATCTCAATTTTTAAACTATTTTCAGATAAATTTGTCCAAGTACATCTAAATCTAGACTATTTGAATTCTTTCTCACGCTAAGGTTGGTTGTTTCTGTGGATGATTTAGATATCACTGCCGTTTATTGTCCAAAAGAAGTTTTAAATGATTAGTTATGGTTCATGTTGGATTGTATAACTAGCCTCATCTAAAATGAAACTTATTTTGGGGGTGATATTTCAAATAGATTATGCAGATCTTCATCAGGTCAGTGTATGAAGACCATTAAGGAGTTAAATAATGTGAGAGAAAGGGCTGAATAACTCAGAACCCTGAAATGTGTAAAATTGTAAGTTGAAGCACAAGTGTATTGAAACAGTGTTAAAAGTGAATGGAAAAGAGAACAGTGTGGTATTCATGGATAAAACCAGTTTGCCAACAAGTATTAGGTAGATGAATCCATAATAATAGCAGAGTTCACCAAGGAGTTTATGAGGGTTTTTGTGAGAGAGATAATTCGACTGAGATTTCTCTTTAACATGAAAATAATGAAGCAGGACATTTTGTAAATAAATTAACAAAATATTTATTTTGACAATACAAAGAAAACCAGTGTATCTACTCTTGACAAGTGGACAGTTCTCACCAGTGAGTGTATCTACTTTTGACAAGTGGACAGTTCTCACCATTGAGTGTATCTACTTTTGACAAGTGGACAGTTCTCACCATTGAGTGTACCTACTTTTGACAAGTGGACAGTCCTCACCAGTGAGTGTATCTACTTTTGACAAGTAGACAGTCCTCACCAGTGAGTGTATCTACTCTTGACAAGTGGACAGTCCTCACCAGTGAGTGTACCTACTCTTGACAAGTGGACAGTCCCCACCATTGAGTGTATGTACATTTGACAAGTGGACAGTCCTCACCAGTGAGTGTATCTACTCTTGACAAGTGGATGTACCTCTCTTGACAAGTGGACAGTCCCCACCAT